CTCCTTGGGCTCCTTGGACTCCTTGGGCTCCTTCTTGTCCTTCTTGTCCCTGCCGCCGTTGGCGCCGTTCCTCTTCTTGTTCTTGTTGTGGTTGCCGCCGGCGACGTTGGCGGCCGCACCGTCGGCAGACGCAGTCGCGGCACTGTCGGCAGCCTGCGCCGCCGCAGCAGCCTTGGCTCCGCCCTCGGCCTTGGCCTTGTCCTTCCTCTGGCGGCTGTTGCGGCCCGCGGGCTTGTCGTCGGCGCTCTTGCCCGCCTCGTCCTCCTTGTCCGTCTCGCCACCCTTCCTGCCGGACGCTTGGCGCTCGCGCTTCGACTCCTTGTCGGTGCCGCTCGCGCCTGCCTCGGCTTGCTGCGGCTGCGACTGCGACGCCTTGTTGCTGTCCGCCTGCTCGAGCACTGGCTTGACGTCGCCCTTGATCGCCTCGCCCTGCCTCTTGAAGCCGGCCGCCATGGCCGCCTCGTCGCGGAACTCGACATAGGCAAACGGACGCTGCCTCCTCTGCTGCTCTGCGTCCTCCTTACCGCTCGAGGCGCCGCGGCGGTGCGGCTTGTCAAACACGAGCTTGATGCCCGTGATGCCGGCGGCGGCGGGGCCAAAGTAGGTGCGCAGCTCGTCCTCGGTCACAGGCAGCGCCTCCTTGAGCTGCGACACGTACAGCGTAAAGGGGTTGCGCACCTTGCGCGGGCCGCTGGGCGACTTGCGCCCGTCGGTGCCCGAGGTGAAGCCGCCGTCAAAGTCGGAGCGGGATGCAGCCGACTCGTGGCCACGCTCGCGCGTACGTTCCTTCTTCTCCTTGACGGGCTTGGCAGAGGCAGGCGAGGCGGCAGCCGTCTTGCTGGCAGGCGTAGCAGCACCCGACGCACCGGCAGCAGCAACGCTGGCCTCGGCAGGCTTTGACGCGTTGACCTTGGTCGGAACGGCGGCGGTGCCGGCGTTGGAGGCAGCGTTAGCGGCTGCGTTGGCGCGCTGTGCCGCTGCAGGGGCGGCAGCAGCAGCTGGGATTGCTGCGGCCGCCGGCGTGGCTCGAGGAGCAGCTGGAGCCGGTGCAGGGGCAGCGGCAGCAGCCGTGGCTTGTCCGGTGGGGGCGACGGGGGCCATGGGCTGACCGCTTCTGCGGTATGCAAAGTTGAAGCCCTGCGACTTGGTCTCTGCGCTTACGCGGCCGTCCTTGATGCCGAGGACGAGGTGTCCGTAGGCGGCGTCGGGCAGGTTCCAGTTCCAGGTGTTCTTCCAGGCGGGCTCCTCGCTGGCGGCGCCGGTGGCGGTGGCGGTGGGGGCGACGCGGTTGGCGACGGCGAGCGCATTGTTGAGCAGCATGCGCTGGTTCTCGTCGATCACGGCGTCGACCTGGGTCTTGACCGTGTCCCAGATCTCGCCAAAGGCGTGCTTTGCGTGCTGGAGCTTGTTCCTGTAGTTTTCCGCGTCGTGCTGTACGCTAAACTCGTTGTACGAGACGCCGTAGCGGAAGTGGAGGCCTGCGCTGATGGTGAGGTCGGCCTTGAGGGCGAGAGCGAGCTGTGCGAGAAGGCCTTCGCGACCTGGCGAGGCGTGTGTGATGAGCACGCGCGTCTCGGTGGGGTCAAAGGTCTTTTGTGCGGTGTCGACGAGCTCGCCGATCTGGAGCGCGGTGGTCCACATGGTGCCCTGGCCTCCGGCGATGGTGGCGGCGCCCTCGCCGTTGTCGAAGAGCTTGTGAAGCACGACGGCACCGCCGAGGCCGAAGAGGCGCAGACGGACGCCGCCGACCTCGATGGCCTTGGTGGAGGCCTCGTCGAGGACGTGAAGGTTGTTGACCTGGTATTCGCCGGTGCGGAAGCGCTCGAGGATGGCGACGTCCTCGCACGCGCCCCAGACGGTGAACACGGGGACGTTGAGCTTGATTTTGCCCACGAGGAGGTCGGAGAACTGAGAGAGGGGCAGGCCGGGTTGCTGGAGCATGTGCTGGCGCATGACGGCGGAGGCGGAGCCCTTGTCGGCAGCAGGGCCAGCGGCGATGGCGGCAGGGGCGCGAGGAGCATCTGCGGCGAGGAGCTTGGTGCGAAGGGCGGGTTCGATGAGGGTGGAGTACTGGACGAGGTGGCGGAGGGTGCGGTCGCTGATGCGTTCGAGGCTTGCGTGGTCGTAGAAGCCAAAGTCGCCGGTGTGGATGATGGCCTGTGCGTTGGTGTCTGCAGCGATCTGGTTGAAGAGCGAGAGGTTGCCACGCACGTCTGCGACGCAGGCGATCCTGCCGCCGGGGCCGTCGATGACGTAGGGAGGCTCGGCCGCGGCGAGCGGTGGCTTTGAGCCTGGAGCGGAGGCTCTGCTGCGATGGGAGGAGTTGGTGTTCTGGCTGGGGGTGCGAGAAGGCACGCCTGCGCTGGGGGGTCTAAGGCCGTTGTTGTGTCCAGAAGCGGAAGCGCTTGGCATGGTAGTGGTGGCGGGTCGGTTGGCGTGCGCTGGCGAGGGCTGAGCGTTAGCCCTGGCGTTGTTGGGAGTGGAAGCCATGACGAATTTTAGAGAGGAGGTTGAGGAAGTGGATGAGGAAGCAGACGGCCGAGGAGGGTGAGGGTGAGGGTATGCAGACCGGTTGCTGTGTGGATGTTCTGAAGATATATGTAGAAGTGTGAGCCACTGGAGCGATGCGAATAGGGAGATGGTGGCCTACTTACGATGCTTGGAGCGTGAGCGCTCTTTTTGGGGGGTGGGTCGAAGTATGGATGGTGGTGAGGGATCAAGGAGAAGAAAGGGACAGCGGAGTGAGGAGTGGAGTGCGCAACTCGATCGAGCCGCCGCTGCGAGCCGTCTTTCATATTCATAGCGGCTCACCAGCACGGCAGAGCGGCTCAGTCTCTGCAATCGTCTCGGAGCAGCGCGAAAAAGGGTGCGGCGCGCTTCGCTGCTCGCCCACCCAACTCAACTCAAATCCAACACACACACACACGCATGCACCCGCCCACGCATCCTCGCTCCGCCCTCGCCCTCCTCGCCCTCCTCGCCCTCTTTGGAAAAATTCGGCTGCTCCGCTGCTCTACGCGTTGCGCCGTGATCTCTATGAAATCACACCTCGACTCCACCGCAATGCATGGGACTGCAGCTCGAGCTTGTCTGCGCTCGGGATCGCCGTGGCAGCGGATGGGAGCCGACGACAAGGTGATGAGCCTGGTGACAGCTCCTTGCAGCGACGGCCGAAGCCTCTTTCCTCTGCCGCACTGTGTCTCTCACTTGCGCTGCATTTTCCCAGGCAGTGAGAGTGGACCCTGAAATCGCAGCATCGGTGCATCTCTGTTCGGCAGCTCCGAGGGTCAGTCACTTGCGGTAGCGTGTTGCCTGCCACTTTGCCGTCGAGTTCCCAAACCGCTTGCGACGAATGATGAGGCCTCGACACACACGCCACCTTCGCCGACTTGCGCACTGCAGCACACCGGGCAATCGAGCTGAAGACCTGCGTTGGAGAACGGAGCATGCGGAAAGCCTAAAAGTACAATGGATGCCAGCAAGCGAGTCGTGTGATGATGGCAAGAGACCGATCGTGGATTGACGCCGCATCATGCGTGCGAGACCTTCTTGGTGATGCCCAGACGGCGCTGCTTCCGCGCGAGCTTCTTGGCGCTCATCTATCGACACAGAGGCACAAAGCAAAAGCAGCACAATCGTCAGACAACCCCCTCCTTCTCAGTCGTGATCGGGCAGACACGCAACTTACCTTTTGAGCCATGATCTCGAGTCGTGCCTTCTCCTCGGCCATCTGCTTGCGTTCACGCGTGACCTGCTTCTTCCTGTCCGACTCGGCCTCCTTCTCCGCCTTCATGTCGCGCTCCCTCTGCTTGATCGACTCCTGCTTGCGACGTTGCTCCAGCTTCTTCTCCCATGGCGTCGTCTTCTTCTTTCCCGCAATCGTACTGTGAGTCGCATGAGCACATGTCAGTCTGGCTGGCCTCCTCATCATCGCCACATCGCTGCGCGATTGCACCCGCAAACGCATCCATTCGACTTACACTGTGGTCGTGCTTGTCGGCTTGGCCGGAAGCATATCGCTCGAAGAGGAAGCCTTGCTCGACATCGTATCTATATCTTTGCTGAAGGTGGTCGAAGGGGACGATGGATCGAGGCAGCCTTCTCCAAGTCGGCCTTGTCTGCCTGCAGCCAATGGGCAAAAAAAAAATGCCAAACAAAGTGTGGAGAAAAACTTGGCCGAAAAGTGGAGCTGCAGCCGATGAGCTACGAAAAAGAAGACGAATTCCTGCC